GTTTGTTGAGTTTGTGAAGTAGATTTACTAGCTTCTGGACTAGTTGATCTTTCATTGTCACTTGATGATTGAGAAGCTCCGGTCTGTAAAGCTGATTGAGAAGTTGTCTGTTGAGCTTCTAAAGTAGTAGATTCACTAGCTCTTGAATCAATTGGTCCTTCATTGTCACTTGATGATTCAGAAGATCCAGTGTGTGAAGTTGATTGGAAAGATGGTTGATGAGCTCCTGAAGTTGTAAATTCACGAGTTTTTGAATCAGTTGATCCACTTGCACCACTGCTGGATGCTGTATTTTTATCTGAAGCATTGCTTGCTTCATTACTAGTATTACCATCGCTAGATGGACTGTCACTGGCAGCTGTTTCAAATTTAGAAGTAGAGGCTTCAGTTGTTTTTTGATTTTCTGATTCTCCAGAAGGTTCAGTTCGTGAAGATGATTGAGAAGATGCCTTCTGGGTTCCTAAAGTTGTAGATCGAACATTCGAATCTCCTGATCCACTCGCACTGTTCTTGGAATTTTCGGCATTAGTGCTTCCTGTTGTCTGTTGAAGAAACGTTTCTTATTTTCTTGTTTATTGTGATCGTTAAAATATTGCTTGTCGTTAACTAAACTAAACTATTTCTTACCTGACTTATAATCTGCGTGTTGCTCGTTCCTGATTTCGAATCAGATTCTGTTCCTTTTTCATCTTCACCACCTGTTTACAAAATTAAAGAAATTGCTTTTGTTCTAAGTGACAACAATATACTAATTCTACAATATATTACCTGCGTTAATAGTCGTAGCTTCCGGTCTATTAATTAAGATTATGTTTATCGTAAAGTTAAATTTGTTCTTCGTGGACAAACAATCTGTTAAACAGTTTCTTATTTGATTTTCACGCTGGCCACTATTTTCTGGTATGTTACAAACAAGCAATAACTTATCCTCTTTTAAATTTGCCTTCCCTCTCAATATTTCTTCTTTCAATTCTAGTTTCCTTTTCCATATCAGATACTTATCTCTGTTCCATTCGTACAGTTTCTTGCAATAATCGTCCGTCTGATAATGCTCGAGCACGTATCTGATTTCCTTATAGTCCTTTTCTTTCTCTGATAAACTCTCCAAATACTGCCTGAACTCGTCTTCACCAGAATCGTCGTTAGACTCCGACGAGCTTGAACGTTTGTCGTCATCGTTTTCCCGTGACTCGCCTTTCGAATTACGTTCACGTCGCTTTTGGTGTCTGTTATTCGATCTCGAGTCCGGAGAGTTCGATTCGGAGGAATCGCTTTCTTCGGACGAACTTTCCTCGCGACGATTCGCATTCCATTTTCCATGAACACTCGCCTGGTCAGAGTTCTCCTCCTCGGAATCCTTTTTCTCGGCGTGCTTTCTTCTGTGAGGAATCACTTTGTTATCCTCGGAACCGGAACGATCCGACTTGCTTTTTGTCTGTAGTAAAACCAAGGGGACGGAAGATCTCTCGTAGTTTCTGTTGCTTTGTTTCACGTCACGATGTTTCGAGTCTTTGGAGAACCACCACTGCGGCTGATCCGAGTTGGACGCGCCTCTCTCCCTGCTCAAACTAGCGAGCCGAGCGAGTGGATTTTCCTCCCCTGGGTTCCGTTTTTCTGTCAGCTGGTCGATCGCGGGAAGCCATTGTGGTTTATCAAAAGGGGCGCCGTAGGTATAAACGATTGAAATAGCGAGAAGAATGTTGACAATCGTGCCTGGCAACCATGAAGGAATATTAGTTTTCTAACATTTAATAATGTTATTTTTTTTAGATAAGAAATCGAATTGTTCAATCCGCCCTGATGATGATAGGTACAATAAGAATAAATCGAATAAATCCAATCTCTCTCTCGGAAGTGAATGGTTTTTAACTATGAATGGAGAAAAGAAAAAACAAAAAAAAAAATTGAAATGATATTTAGCTTCTCGGCGTTACCTTTCATTTTTTTTTTTGAAGCTCTTATTCAGACACACATTCCTCGACGACACGTTGATGCTCTCTTTACTGGCGAGCTACATTTTTCGTGGTCCATTTATATAATCGCTTCCAGATAAATTTTCTCTTATCAGGTAAAATTTATGGCTATTATTACAGTGATTCATCTCATTTCTCGATGTAATACTCGATCGCACAATAATTGTCGCGTGCTAAAAATGGCATCCGAGATCTTTCAAAAAGCTCCATGTTGATGGAACGGAAAGATACGATTCATTGTGACGATTAGTCATCGTGATTTGTCTTTACGTCATAAATAGAACAAATACAAATCTAACTTTCCCTAAGTCAATTGAGATTAATCGTTCCTCGTAATTTTGATAGTGTGGAAGCAAGCATTTTTTTTTAAATATGTAAATAATTGTTTATTTATTCTATAATTGCATCGACGATCATTTTACATTATACAAAATTCTAAGTTCAAATTTCTGTTAAATGTAATAGATATTAAGTTTTGTAGTTGTTTGATTACGTTTCATATGTTTGCTTCTTATCAATAGACGAGTAAGAAGCCTACTCATTGTCAGAGTTTCAATTTTACTCGAACGTACGACTGGTTGCAATGCTGCAGGGGTCAAACGTTGCACGATCATCAGATTGCCTCCTTGTTTCTCTTTTGAATTACAATAATTATATAATCCAGCGTGTGAAGTCACAATTATGCTACCTTCTACAACTAGAAAGAAATAAACAACATGAATGAATTATTATTATCTTTTAATTCGATCGGGACGTTAATATAGAAATTCAAGAAATTCCAAAGTGATGGATACTTTGTTGTTTTATAAAGTTCCCCTTTTTTCAGCTCAATGAAAATTATACTTCTCACTGCCTTTCACAATTGAAAGAAATAAACAGCACGGGATCGGGACGTTAATATAAAAATTCAAGAAATTTCAAAGTGATGAAACATTTGTTAGAA